AGGCAGAATACGTTTAGTTCTGTTTCTACCTTTTCATCAGTTTTCATATTTAGAGGACTAGAGGCACCAAAGTGGGGCTTACTCACAGCACTCCACAGAAACTCAGGTATTAAAGTTATTGTAAGCTGGCTGCAGGCAGGCAGGTCACAGTCTAGTGTTACTTTTAAGATGTTTTTTGAAGCTGAGGATTGAGAGGAAAACCAGGTCTTATTCCATTGTACTTACACTGGGCAAGGAGGACATAGAGTTTTGAAAACCCATCCATCTACTTCACTGAATATTTTCCCATTACAGAAACCATTGACAAAAGATGCAGGCAGGTTCACAAGATGGGTGTCAGGTACATGCCAGGAACAGAAAATATCAGAATTGATGCTGAAGGTGGGAGGGTTCTCTGAAAGAGGAAATAGTACAAAAGTTCTGTTGAATTTTCATCTACAACAGCAAATACACACCAAGAGAGCCTCTGTGTTGTATGCCCCTATCCACAATAATTCATTATCATAAAACCTCAGAAATTAAAGCCACCAGCGTAAGAATTCTGTGATGCATCACAAAAAAATCTCATGCTTTTGTATTTTATTATTTGGAAAATTAAGAAAGAGGTTTTGTGGCAATTGGTGCTTCTGGAAACAGGGGACACAAGTTCCTTTATACTCATTTTACTCTTCTTGAAGATTTTTTACTACATTTAATGAAAGTGATATAGTAAATTCTTATGTCACAACTGGCATGAATCCTTTTGTTCCTAAACACCATAGCCTGCACTCCTCCACAACTGAGAAGTTCAGTTTACTGATACTTGCAGGTGTAAAGAGTGTGGAATCTCCTGAGAGAGATGAAAGTTGTGTTATATTAGATCCTGATGATGAATCATTACCAAGTAGGGAAAAAAACTATTCACTCCATTAAATTTTCACACACACTGTGTTTTTAACTTAATAAACAACTATGTAAGGACACATAAAATATTTTTATTATTTTGGAAGGTATTATTTCAGAAAATATTTTTGCTAGGTTTATAACATTAATCATATTTCACCATAGCATTAATCACATTTCTAGAATTTTGGGTGTCATACCTTAAATTACTGAAAATGAACCCTGCAAAGAGTACTTGTGCTTATGGTGCTGTTTTCTCTAATCTCTGTGGCAAATGCAACACTTAGCTAAAAATGGCCACATTTCCATTTTTCATCAAATGTGTTGTTGATATTTAGAAGTAGGTGGGCACACTTCACATTTAACAAATGATCAGCTAGGTAATTTTAGTGACAAATACATCTCTGTGTGGTCTGCCATTTCCAGGCAGAGCATTTATCCCTGTCAGCACTGCTGTGAATTTCAGTACATCAGCAAGACAAAACTGAACTCAATCTTTTACCTGCCTTGGGAAATATCCAACACATTTCTGATTTTCCCCTAAAATTCAGCTGACTAGGATGCAGTGCATCTTAAATTAACAAGGATTCATCAAAGAATAATTGTTACCACTCTGACCCCAGAACTCTTTCCCACTCTGTACACCTAGTGAGGTGTGCTTGCACGCACAATTTCCGTGAGGCATGCCATGCCACAAATAATCTGTGTGTCTGTGTGTGTGAGACAGGACAATTCTGCTGTTCTGACAGCTGTGGAAGGTATCAACACTTTATTGACATGAAGCTGTTCAGAAGAATCTCTTGCAATGCTTTCATTTTACATAATAAATGCACAATTTGTAGTCTAGTATACTTTTATACAAAATTTGTTGACATAGTCTTCTTTGTTTAAATTCTGATTTGTAAAAAAAAAAAAAAACAGGTAAGTTATGCTTTGAAATATGTTCTCACAGGTATAGAAAACCACTTTTTAATCATTTCTGCTCACATTCACTTCAATGAATATTCCATGTATCTGGCCTATCCTCTGTATCTGGCCTAGGTATAAACCTAGCACATATTGGTACCAGGCTGCAGCTGAAGCTTTGTCTTTTCCAAGACTAGGATATTAGGAGCTAGAAAAACCCTGAGATTCATCACAATTTTAGTTGAATTTGAGTTCAGTTTATTTAGAAATAAGAGCAAATTCTGTCCATGGACATGGATACTGGAAAGGGAGAAAAAGGGTGGAAGGAATTCATTGTTGCTTTGATACTGAATTACTTGAACTTCCAACTGTTGGTTTTGCTTCTGCATAATATAACAAGGTTTCTTTTTGTCCTTCATCACAAATTATAATATTTTCTTTCCTGCCCTATGGGTTGCAGAAAAAGAACTGAAAAAAACCCTATGAATCACTTGGGTCCTGTGTTACAGAGCAGCATCAATTCTTGATTTATCACCTTTCATTAGATTGGAATTTAAAAATAAAATATAGCTATGAGAAAATGGGATAAGACAAATGAAGGTGTGGGCAGTAGTGGTTCTTCTCTACATTCTTGGCTTCAGATATTTAGTATTCTGTCCATAGTTTCAGTCTTTTATTCTGCCTGCCTCCCGTTTCTTGTTTTTCTGGAATTCAGCCTTACTTTGGCTGAGCTGATAAGAGGCAGCTGGCACAAAAGCTTATTTGCATCTTTCTCCAGCGCTGCAGTGACTCAGTGTGGTAGGTAACAGCTATGGAGGTGGAAAAACTTGGGATAAACTAAGATTTAGAGGAAATGCAGAGGAGAGAATAAGTAATTAGATGGCAAGTCAAGTCAGCATGGGTTACAGAGACCAATGCTTCTGAAAATACACTGTGGGGACAATAACACTCCTGCGACCTTTAAAGAAGGAGACTCATTGTCTGCAAAAGTTTTCCTAAGAATGGTAGGCTAGATGTGGTGAAGGATAAATAATTTATTTGGGAAAGAATTCTTAGGTTGGGGGTTTTCTTTAGATTTTATTTTCTAATCTGCAGTCTAGAATATTTATTGTTTTCATTTCTGGTTTTGTTGGCTTTTAAATGAAAAAAAATATTTTAATGTGCCTACATTAATGATTTCTCTGTCATTCTGTCTATGGTTTTCCCCTTACTCTATAGGGAAGTGCATCCACAAATTCTATTTAAACTCTTAAAAGTGTAGAATGTTTAACGAGCAGAAATTACAAAAGTAAATGTTTCAATAATGAAAAAAATTCTGCCACATTTCTTACATTTCTCACATGATTTATTCCTGAATTATTTATAGTAAGACTTGAATACCAATAGTCTGGAAATTTTTTTCTATTCATGGTTTTACTGATAAAATCATTGCATAAGTTAGAAACATATTTGATTCCCAGCTGATTGCTAGTGTCCTTAGTTTTGATTAGGGATGCTTATTTTGCAGATAAATGTCAGAGAAATATTTAAGCAGAACCTGAAATTTATCCCTTAACATGACTAAGAATAAACCTTATCATAGCATGTTGAAATCGTAGGAGAACATAAAAAAATGTTTTTCTAGATCAGATGAAATGGTCCACCAAGCTCAGTGACAGTAAGATGATGCTTAGGGAAGGCATACAAATCTGACCAACACCTGCTATTAATTTTTCTCATGCTTCTCCACAGTCATTGGATTAATGATCCTGACTGCTCTCTTTGTTATCTAGTTTATAACCCTATTACTGATTTTTTTTAATCCCATTTCAAAGCAGCTAATTCCATCTACCTCCACAATCTCCCCTAGAAAGAGATTCCAGAAAATTTCTGCCCACTGTGCAAAGGAATATATTCCTTCACCTATTTTAAGTGGATCTCATGGCTGTCTCAATGGATATTCTTTAATTCTGGGATCAGAGAATTAGGTGAATAGCTATTCCATTCATCCTACCCATTTCATTAATGAATTTGAAACCATCATCTCACCTCATTCTTCTTCTCTACAAACAGAGGGGTTTTCAGTTGTTTTCATTTCTCTGTTTGAGGAGGTGAGAAGCCCTTCATCATGTCAGTTGCCCTCTGTGCTTATTCTGTCACCAGGAAAGCCTTTTTGAAATAGAGAGAGCAGCAGTACAGGTGCCACTACAAAACCTGCACAATTTAAAGCTTTCCTGAGAAAGGTACTGATGTTTCTTCCCCTCTCAGGAGAGGAAAAGAAAGATAGAAAAAAATTATATTTAATCGTCTCTGTACTTAAAGCCAAAATTTGACAGTACTAAATGGAATTTGAGGAAGAAAATGTAATAGAGAAGAAATAAGTTTTAGTTTGTCATAAAGCCTGTACAAAGTGTGATTATGTAGTTATTTCAATTACACATAAGAATAGTTTTCCATGGATAGTCACTATATGATTACTTGTATGAGAACTAAAGCTGCAGATTTTGTGGTTGATCTGAATATTCTCTCCTTCTGTGTTTATGATAACTGCCAGTTATTTTGTCACAGAAAATTTTGGGATCAGACAGTATCACAGTGACAGAAAGTGTATCTTGTACTCCACTACAGAGTAATAAGAGTTCAGCAAGAGTGTAAATTGTCAGGATATCAAGAAAAGGTTTTGAGTTCAGAAAGACTGTTCTCCTCAGAGACAGAGATGAGTGTTTCTGAGGCTCCAATATCTTCAAGTGATAAGAGTCAGGAAAGGTTCATACAACTCTCACAGTAATAGATGCTGTTATGGAACTGTCATTAGAAAATCATTGACATTCTAGCCTTCCACTAAGTGTGTCTGATAATTTTAATGAGATCCTAAATAAGTTCCAGCATGAATAAAAATAAGGGAGGTTCACACTATCACATGTGATTCTATTTCAGTGTCTAAAAAATCAAAGTACACACATAATTATGTATGCTATTATTTTGTCAAAAAAGAAGAAGAAATCCAAAGACTCCCCCTCCCTCCCCCCAAGCTGACCAGAAAATACACAAAAAACCCACAAGGTTTCCAAAATATTTGACTTCCTTTGTTCCAAGACTGGAAGAAGGAAGCAAAAAAGTTTCTGAGGAATTTCAGAAGGCTTTGCTTTTATTGTTTCCTTGTACAAGTATGACATTTTAAAAGTATTTATAAAAAGTATGCTTCTTGTACATAACATCTTCTCCAGACTTTCTTATTCACCAGAAAACCTTATGGATTGGACTGTTCTTTCTTCATTACTGAAATTTTCAGCAAGACTCCTGCTTAGCTGCAATTCTCTCATGATTCATCACTCTGTTCCTTGCAACATAACTTTTAACATGTGAGTGCCAAGACTCTTGTTAGGTGAAGATGATGTTTGGTTTTGTTTTGCGTCAGGAACCGTTTCTTTCAGTTTGCTGAATGCATTTTAGCTATTTTATTTCAGAGACACAAATCTTTCATCTTAGGTAATCTATTGTCTTTTGTGTTTAGACAGGGGTTTTTTGGGGGTTTTTGCATATACTTTGTATGGTTATTTGCTGACACTTTTTGCTCAGCCTGAAACAGAATGTTGTCACTTACTGTTTTAATGTTCTTTTCATCTTCATCTGTAATAATAAGATAGGTTTTGATTTTCTCCTGTACTGAAGAAAATATGACATGGGACCCTTCCTGTTTTTTTCTTTAGTTCTTGCAGAAGAGGCAATTCTAAATCACACAGGAGGCTGGTAGACAAGGAATGAATTGTTCCACCTCACACAAGGCTAAGGTAAACCACTTTCAAAGCTATGCAAATATTTCAGATTTGTTGTTCCATTCTTGAAGTCGTGGGTTAGGTTTATGTGCTTGGTAGAAAGAAATTCTCTTCCAAAGTGAAGTGGACAGGGAAAATAAAGAGCTGCTCTTGAGACATGATATCCTTCATGTGAAGATGTTCAAAGCAATAGAAGAATAATTCTTTTTCTTGGTGATTTGTAACACATTAGAAGGTGGGTACACCAGAGATGGAATGCACCCAGTTGTTCAGTCAGTAGATTCTTGTGCAAAATATCTCTGCGTAAAAGCACTACTAAAAGGCATATAGGGATCACACTCATATTTCATGTTCACTGACAAACTAGTGGCACAATTGCTACTACTACAAATCATTACAGATCTGGAGAAAAATCATATCTTTGTAGCAGAGATAAGGGAAAAGAAGATCTGAATGTCTCCCTGTTCCTGCTGTTTTGGTTTGGGGTTTGTTTTGTTTTGTTTTGTTTTCTTCAGTTTCCTTTAAATATACATTTTTCACAATTTTAACTTCTATTTAGTGACCTATAACCTCATCTGTTTTCAAGGGCACTTCAATTTAAGAGCAGCAGTAACAGCAACAGGAATAGCAGAAGTAGCAGCAGCAGGGATTCTGCCTGTGTAGCTATGAGAAGTATTTCAGTAATGAAAGGGATAATTTTGGCTCCCTGCCTCTGCTGTAATTGAAAGTCTAGGATAGTGCCTTTTTCATTTAACTTTATTGCTTGAGTTCAAATTGTTGTATAGAAGGGAAAGCAACACTAGAATAATGTCTCTGCTAGTGCTTTCCTGTCCATTCACCAGTTTGAAACCCAGCATTACAGTTAAAAGGAAGAGCAATTAGGCATATTCAATTATTAAAGGGGGGAAAAACTATAATTATAAATTTCAATCATGAAAAAGGATTGCTTACCAAATATTTACCTACTACTTCTTATTACCAGTTTATCTCTAGTGAGCTAGGAAACAAGCAACATGGTAACACAATTTTCCAGGTAATTTATGCTGAATTAAAATAGAAAACTTTTTCACTATTAATTGCAACTACTTGTAAATTAATGGCAAAAGTTGTTCCATCCACTGACAAAGCACAACCTTAAATCTGCAAAGTGTTGAAGCACTTTCCCTTTCTAATGTCTCAATTGCCAATGAAGGTGTGTAGTACATTGCACAGTACTCTCATAAAAACTATTCTTATACCATATATTTTTCAAACTTTTAAAATTTTTTTCCTGCTGATCTGGGTCTCTACAACAGCATACATGTGAAGAGAAATACAATGGGATTAACCATTCTAAATACATCTGAAATATTATGCTCATATTTTCAGTTATTTATTTCACTTTGGGGAAAAAAAAGGGATTTTGAAAATAGGTATTAATTATGGACTTGAGAGCTATGTTTACTGTCTTATAAGAAACTGTAGACCCATAATAGTCTTCCTTCCATCCTAACATTGCATCAATTGGCTTCTGTTTTCAGAGCAAAACTCCTGTAGATATTCTTCAGTGATAAATCTATAGAAAGTTTAGTTTTATCCCTATTGGTACTTAGGTTAATGTATTTCAAGTAAAATTAAAGGAACTACTATGGTTTTGCCTCCTTTAAAATTAGAGCAAAAATTATTTTTGTGCTTAACTTGTGGGAATGGAGAGGGGTACTTAGTATTTTGCAGCAAAATTAAAAGTAAGAAATGCAGGGAAAGAATCTTCAAGGACATGAAATAAAAAGAAGCTATAAACAATCATACTCATTCTCTACTGCCTTCATGAAAAGTGGCAGTGTCCTGTCTGTTTTTCATGTTTGTATACTTTTATTAGCTGCTCAGGACTCAGAACTATTTTTAATTGGTGGATATTTCTAGAAGGTGTAGAGGGATGGTGATTCGTTTAGATTTTCCATTCTATATCAGTTAAAGATTTTTTTGAGTCAGTGAGTCCTTGGAAAAAATATTTATTTATGTTTAACATTTTGTTTATCTACTCTTTATGCTGTAATAAAATGTTTTATATTCTTACAACCTATTTTGTCTCTGTTCACAACTTTGTGCAAATAGTTCCAGTTAAATAATCCAGTTCTACCTGGATTTTACTTTGGATTGTACTTGGATTTACTTTTTTTTGCTTGGATTATACTTTGATGTGCGTGTGAAAGCATTTCCATGACAGTATCTAACATCAAAAACAATGGCACCTGTCTCAGAGCAACTGCTTCCTAATCTTACTCAGCAGAGCATGCAGAATTTCAAATTATTGGACAAATACACACAGTTCACCTCAAGTCAAATCTCTTTCTTAATGGTGCTAAGAGATTCAGTAATAATGAAAAAAAATATGTTTGTGGTTGCATTTTTTTATATACTTACTTGGCTCTGTCATGATAAGGAAGTTGGTAAAGAATGGCATCAAAATTAACCTTTATTTCTGTACTAGAGATCTAGTGGTCTGTTGCTACAGATCATAAAATGATCTGTGAGTGAGACTTTTGAGACATCTTGTCATTTCTACCAAAAATATCCTAGAAACCTAGTTAATTGAAATTCATGAGGAATTTTACTGCCTATGGCATTGAGGTTGGAACTAGATTATCTTTAAGATCCTGTCCAACCCAAACCATTCTATGATTCTGTGATTCTATGACCTTATGATAAGTTTTTTCAAGTTCCTTCTAGGCAGAACAAATTAAATAATTTCCTTTGCCATTAGAAGGTAACATCTTGCCTCTACTATGCTGCATAGTAAAGAATATTCCCTGCAGTGTCCTTATAAATAGATATGAGATAGAAAATCTGAATTTTACTTGTTTCATTTGTTGTTTTGGCTCCAGCACAATATATACATATAAGAAAGATTTGTTTTCTCCCCACTATATTTTTTTCAGATAAGATTTAGAGACTCAAAGTGTTTTGTGCAATTGAATTACTAACAGGAAAAACTGTTTAAGATTTTTTTGAGAAAAGATTTGCTTTTCCTGGATATACCCAGTTTTCATTAAACCTGAAAAAATCCAGAAAATGATGACTGGATAATTAAAAAAGGGGACCTGAAGCATGGTTTCATTCCAGGAGAATGAAATTATTCTCAGTTCTGAAAAGCAAGCAGAAATGAGCAAATAGTAGAATAGTTTCCTGAGTATTCAATAGAATTTGAACTGTTGGAAAGACTTAGTTTTCCTTCCACAGTGGAATGCTATATCTCTGTTGAAAAGGGAAACAATGTGAAAATTAAAATCAGTAGTGGAATTATGGAATTCATGCAATTATATAGGAAAAATTTTCATAATATGGAGAAGTAAGCTTTGTATATGTACTGAGCACAGCATTTGCATATCAAATTTGCTGAGGAGTTTGATGTTAGGCTATCTGTAAACTTGAGGTTTGCCCACCACTAACCCTAACACGCAAAACAGAAACTATTTTGCCGCTATCATAAATCTCATAGCTATTTTTAACTGGAAATGATGCATATTCTGTGTTCTTGATAATAGTCTGTGAATGTTATAGGAAGGGTCTATAAAAAAAGGTGATGAAATTGTGCTCAGTGCAGAAAACTAGAATATACTTGATATAAAGGTGAAGAAAAATATTTTCTAGGACAAAGTGGAGAGAGTGAAATTGTATTTGGGATTATGATTGTGTGCACACTGCGCACTGGGATGGGGCAAGATTGGACATATTTACACACTATACAAAGACTGGATATATTCCAAGATGTGGGATGAATTCCAGATAGGTTACTCTTTTAAAGGAATGATCTTTTCTTTCCTATTCTATCACTTCAACTTCTGGACATGTAGTTGCAGCCTTGGTGAGAGCAGCACAGTTGAAATGCACATAATAATAGGTAAACTTCCTTTATTCTACAAGATATAGAGGTCAAAAATGTTGTTTATGCTGGATGGATGCTTACAAACTTATGCTTTTCCTAATGGAACAGTTTTGACAGCTGAGATTGGTTCAGCTTCATGGCATTCAGAAATGCATCAGTACATGTCATTCTTCACAGCAGGAGACTTTATGATTATGTGCTGTAAATTACTCTGCAAGCACATAGGTATAAAATAATTTTAAAATACTAGGAATGAGGAACCAGAAATTCAATTAAAGAATATTGTGACCATAAAATACAATAATATTATATCTTGGGTAAAAAAGACTGTTAAAAAAAAAAAAATATTACAGTTGTGTCTCTGTGAATGATTTCATTTGTTCAAATAAAAATCAGCCTTACAAATAAAAAACTAGCATTATTTCATCAGAACACTCACATATACCACTAATCATGAATACAATTAAAGCATTATTTTGAGAGAAGTACAATTTCAGAGGCTTTTGTCTCTTCTGATATAACCAAGATGAACCTTAGGGATACTCTACCTACTCTGAGCTTGTAAAGCTTATGTCTCAGCTATGTGCAGTGTGTGATGGAGTTCTTGTACAGTGTTTGTCAGTAAGGAATAGTAGTCTCAGGAATGGCTAATTCTTCCAAGTATTCTCTGAGGTGATTAATTGTTACTCCTTATTTCAGTAAGTGACTAATTTATGTTGCCAGAGATTTACTGCCTGCTGTTTAGCATGTGACAAAGTGATTCTAAACTGTACTGTTACTTGAACTGCAGCAAGGCTGGAGTAATTACAGTGTTATATAAGTGGAATTTCAATGGAAACAGTAGAGATAGATCCAGGGACGTGTGGAGCACTCTTTTTTTTCTCTCTGTATAAGATGTTGCTGCCGTATACCTGAGTGTATCTGCAAAGAAATAATGATGAATTGAATACAGAGATTTAATTTATTTATTTTGTTTAAAATCAATAGTTACTTTGGAAGAAAGAATTATACATTACTTATCAACTTTTTAAAAGTACAGGCTAATAGGCAAAATTGTGTGTTGATTCAGTAAAATGTATGGTTTAAAAAATGGAAGGAAATCCCTATATCCAACAGTTGCTATTCATGTCTCTTAAAATGGAGAATGGAACAGAATGTTAGTGTCAGATATAAGGAGACAAAATTCCTTGTCTCAGCCACATGTTCAGCTGAAAAACAGTAAAAGAGCTTCTACTAAACAGTAGTTTCAGTTCTTTACTTACATTCATAAAGTTGTTCAGCCAATACCCAGTAGATAAAATTAATCATATACCCACTCTCGTGTTTCACAGTCCTGTCTTGTTCTTGACTTAGTACTTGAGAAAACTAGATAGTATTCAATCATTTTTTGTCTGTCTCAGTTCGCTCAAGTCACATTTCCAAGTAGTTTTTGTTTGTTTGGGTTTTTTGTTTGTTTGTTTGTGGTTTTGGTTTGTTTATTTTTAGCAATAAGGGACAGAATTTTTATTTAATGGATGGACAGACTTAAAAACATGCATTGGAGAATGCGCGTTATCTAAACTATTATTCATTCTTTCACCTAAAGCAGACAGTGCTGTGAAGGGAGAAAACAGAATTTCAGATATTGAGCTAAATACTGCAAGATTTGGGACAGAATCAGAAGACCCAGAAACAGTTTCAGTTTTTATGGAAATCAGTGTTGTGGAAAACAGAATTCTGGAAATGTGGTATTTTCATTACTCTTGCAAGATAAACAAAAAAGACATGTATCCAAAAAATGAATTGATCTTCAACATATGCCCTTTGAAGTTATTGTGATGAACTAGTAATAGAGTTCCTCACAGAGAATTTACTTTTGATCAGCAGTAGTTTGTGTCAAGGAATTTTCCTCAAAAATAAATTCTACCATCGAATGCCTGTCCAAAACCTTCTATTAATACATCCAGTTCCTCTATACCAAAGCTAAGTCAACAGTCTTCACACAAATTTGAAACTAATCCTGAAGTATGCTACTAAATTAATGTCTCTGACAATGAACTTTCAGTGACTCAAGAGGCTTCTTTATTAAACTTCATAATAAATCAACTAACTTTTTATAAGGATCAGATTAGGGATTTTCATACTGGCAAAAGGTTAAGCAAACAGCTATGTTGTTAGTATTTTAATTTACAACTTGAATGAGGTGTAACATCATCAGAATTGTGGTTTTGGCTTCCCTCTATTTGACTATGCAGGACTTGGGTTTCCTTAGATGTACTTGCAGTCATCTCACACATAGAAAAACACAGAAACATATGAATTTAGAAGGCAAAAATCATAATCACACAAAAAAATTTGCACATAGATATTGCAGTAGACCATTCTAATGCAAGCATATTATCACCCATCAGAACATTGGAATTACTTTTAATTACAGTCTTATATATTTAGTAAATTTTAGTAAACTTTATGCCAGCATACTAAAACCTCAGGCTAGCAATCTAATGTTTCTCTTTGCAACCAGAAAGCGTTTAAAGTGTTTTGCTTCATGTTTTGTAACTCAAACACTGTTTTTTAGGTTACATTAATAATGATTATGTAAAAAAAGGCCATTTTTGTTTACTTTCTCTGCATGACTATAAGTAGAATCTTCTTAGTATAAGAGGCTGTTGTTTTCCCCAGTGACAATCAATGCAAATACATTTGGGAAGGTCTTCTAAAGTCACTGTAGATAAGGGATGATAAAGTTTCATGAAGATATGACTATTAGCAGGTACAGAGCTTTGATGAAGAATAGCAAATGAGAGTATTAAACTAATGGGAAGAACTGATTCAGCCTTATCAGGACATTTTTGCTTCTTTAATTTGAATTCAGAACTTGTTTTTCCAAGAGACTAAATTTCATTTACTTAATTTGCTTTGTAGAACATCTTTTCTGTTTTGTTTTGGGGTGTTTTTTGGGGGGGAGGCTTATGGTCCTTTCAGGAAATTAATTTAAGAAAGAGAAAAAAAATAGGAAAAAAGCTGTAGTAATGTTAGCTAGAAATTACTATAATGAAAGACCAGGAAAGCAGAACAAAAACTAAAGAATATCAAAACATCTTGTAAAGTTGTATGATGATGTCCAAATGTGGACAAATTAGTGTCTACATGATTACTTGCACCCTCACAATCTACAGAATTGTAAAAGGGGAAAAGGATGTAATAGAAATTCAGCTGTTCAGGTGACTTCACCCCACCACTGCTACAAAGTCACAACATCAGTAGCACTAGTCCTGCCATGTACCTAACAGCAAAAATGGAGGATTAATACAAACATTATAGATCCTAACAAGAAACCGCATATTTTGGGAGAGAAATCTATAATTTATTCATTAATGAGGATAGACATTGATGTCCCATAAGGTATTTTTCTGGCTTTTTTCCTAGGTTTCCTATTTTCTCTCTGTTTCCTAGTGCACAGTAATGCACTGCAATGCTGGAACTGCACTGAACGTCTGAGTCAGGGCCCAAAGGAGGAATTTCAGCTGCCATTATCTTCACGTGTAACAAGCTGACCAGTTGACATTCTTAAAGATCTTACCCCAAATATCAATATTTCTGTTCTACAAACACAATATAAGCCACTTGGATTTAATGATGCAGTGACAAAAAAAATAAAAATAACAGAAAAATGTGATTCTGGCCTTTATTCTTTTTATTCGACTGTGTCTTCATGAGACTATGTCTTTCTAAGAAAGTAATATGAAGACAAAAGTTCACATAATCACATTTAACACATATATGATTGTCATAGCTCTGGATTATTATTAAAATTTTCTAACCAATTCCTTTTACCTTTTAGACAGCTATTATTAATATTCTGTATGACTGCCTAGAGGAAAAAGTCATATGTATAGGAAAAAAAATTAAATCTTTCACAAGCTATTTTGTTCATTTCTGGGAGGGGATAGGTGTTTTAACCTTAGAACAAATTGAAATTGCTAAGCTTTACCTTCAACATCCTCTGAGGACTCAGATGTTTCGGCACCATGAAATGAAGCTGCCAGGAATTCAGATTTATGAAACTCGTTGTAATGTATAGAGTGAATAAGCTAATATTTTAGAATATTTTATTTATAAAATTGATCTCAATGTCCTTGTTCTTAAAACAAAGGCAAAAGCTAAAAGGGAGTAAAATTACCTAGTTTTTTGTTTATTTTGATATATCAGTCAGTAAAACATCTACATTTTCAAAATAAATTAGGTTTGGTAGAACTGAAATTAATTTTCCTTTGTAGTAGCAGCATACAATACTCCAAAAGAGAAAACCAAATAAAGAAAAATTTACTCCAGTAGGGATGTTCTAGTAGCTAACAGTGAGATAAAGACAGAAGGGCATTTTAACTCGTGATGACAACTGACAAAGGGGAGATAACCCTGATATTATAACCCTGCTGGCTTCCTCCATGCTGATCAGAGAATGCTGTGTCTGCTTGGGACACCCTGTCTGTACTGAGGTCTGGTGCCTGCCCTTCAGAAAACAAGGTCCTTGGCAGGTGGCTGCTTTAGAGGCAAAGCCATTGGCTCAACTTCTGCCAAGTCTTTGGAGAAACCAAACTCTAACTCAAAATCCAAGAGTACAGGTGCTCTGGAAAAGTGTACTCTATAACAAAGGTACAACAAATTCTGCTGAATGCAAGATGCCATTCAATTTAGGGTCTATCATAAAAATTCATGTTAATACTTAGATTATAATGTAGAATGACACAGTATATCCTTCACACTAAATGTGGTTATTAGTTGTATTCTTAGCATTTCTTTTTGATTAGCAATATCATTTGCACTTTATTACAAGTGCATATGTGTACACATACACAGTGTAATAAATCTGTACCAACTTCTGCTACATTACTGAATCATACCATGTTAAGCACCAACTATTAGAAGTAAAAAATAGTAATAAAAATATGGCTGTCAGATCATACCAAACCAGATTTCATTGTTGACAACAGTATTCATGCATAGCAAAAACTGATATTTCCCACCCTCCTAAACTAACACAGACCTACAAGGCAAAGGAGCAGCAGAAGACATTTTCTCAGCACAGCACCAAGGTTTGCAAAAGCAATACTGACATGTATGGCCTCACTGTAATAATGTGAAACTGGTCTTAGCAGGAGACTTTATGGATGATTTCTCAGATCCTGATCCATGCTGGGGGTAGTGGGAAAAAGGGAAGGAGTGACAGTTTGAATTGTGGAGAAGATTTTTGATTCCTGTAGGAAAAAAATAGGTACAAATTAGGTAGATTTTAGTGGACGCTTAATTTCATACCATATGGTCAAATGCAACAAGTGTGATTGCCTGCTGACTTTGGGCATGCAATTAGAAACTCTAAATAGTAGTGGAGTTTGGGAACTGATAGGCATCAGCACAAATTTCAGTTAGTGAGCCTCAGATCTTGCTAAAGCCAATCCCAGCAAGGGATTTTAAAACTGCCTGTGGCATTTTCAAATCAATCTATCAGTCTGTAGGCAGCAATGCAAAGAATGCACAGCCAGCACAATACCTGTTCCAAGCAGTGACAACTCTGCTAGTGCATTCTGAGCAAGCCACAAGCAATTCAAAAGTCCTGTGAGGAAAGAATCACAATAAATGAGTCTCTGTTCCCCAGAGGATGAATCATGATTACAAGGATCACAAAGAAGCAGTGTCACTTGAACGAGGAATAATATATTATAAAATCAGGTGCATGGAAAAAATACCCTTGCATACAGATCACCCTAGTTTATTACAACATTCATCTTTCCAGTAACATTTTTTTTTTTTTTTTTTTCCATGGAAGCTAAAGACTTTTCTTCACTGTTGCTAATTTTTTAATTTTTTTTTTATAATTACTGAGCGTTTCAGTCCAAACTTAAATTAGTCCTATAAGGCTTGACCCATCAATGAAAATGTTCTCTTCTGTGCAAAGCAATGAAACCTGGTGCAGGTAAACAGCAGCAAGTTGTTATTGAAGTCATTACAATGTGCTCAGGAAGAACATGGTAGGACAGACTTTAGAGTCAGATTTTAGTGACAGTATTAAAACAACCAGCTCACATTGGCAATGGGGTTTTCCCATGGAGTAATATCTGTAGGTAAACTCTAAAATGGACTTCAGTTTCTGGAAGATGATCAATTGGTAGTGAAAACCTACAGGCAGTGAAAGGACAAGACTAGCATGAATGATTCTCTGAATGTTAGTGGTTAAAAATAGCTGTATTTCTCTGTATGCCTGCATTTCCTGGAGTCTTTTGGCAGAAACCTCATTTATTTCTGTTCTATGAGTGGTCATTTGGTTGATTGTTCCCAGTACATTTGGAAATATTATCTTCCAATCATCAAGTACACAAACATCCGATTCAAAAGCAGCATTTTTTCCCCAAGGTAAAATACAAACAAAATGGAGAATATTTGTTTTGAAAGTCTTTTTTTTCATGGAATGGTGTTTAACTCAACAGTTTTCATTCTTGAAGGCCAGCTTCTACCTAGATGTACAGTGATTAGCAGAATGATAAATAGAATTTTAAACTTAAAAATTTCTTCTAATAAAGAAAATACATCAATAAATAAAATGTATTTCCTTACACTAACTCTATTAAAACAAATATTAAATTATTAAATTAATATTAAAACAAATATTCACAACTAAAATAACATTTTATGAGACCTCAATAATCATACTCATCAGAATTGTGGTTAATGAGATTTAAATCAAGTTTACTGCCCATTTTCCATGACTGGCTTGAGTTTGAACTGGCAGTTATCAAGCTACAGATTATTTTTTTTGTGTACTGCTCTAGATTATTTGCTGACATTAGTGTTAAGGTAAATAATTAATCAGACTAAAGGTAAGGAGAAGTATTTAGATGGAAGAGGAAGAATGTCCATTCATCTGTAAAACCTGACCATTCCTGAAAATGTTATTTGAAGAAATATAAGAAAATAAAAGTGAATGAATTATCACTAAAACCGCTAAGGGAAAAAAAGACTGGAACTAAATTCCACCTTTATCTTACACTTTAAAATCTTACACTTTATCTGGTGTAAAACCCACATAGGATTAAGAAAAGAATGGACTAATATACAAGAAAATAAAAAAGCATGTTTGTTTTTCCTGTTACGTATATATATATATATATATATATATATATATATATGCCACCATTTACATTTTTTATTTAAGCTTTCATTTCTGCATGTATCAAGGGAGTCCTAAGGATGCTTGGATAGCTCCTTGCATGCAAATCTGTTTGCATTTCACAGAAAAGTCTCTTCCCTGAAAGGCTTACAATATTGTTTAGATTAGATTCCTTCATAGGTTATATATGTCTCACATTCTTGGTAAGCTTGTTTATATTATGTTGTTCTATATTGCCTGTAAGATAAAACTTTTAGACAAATGCATCACATTTGGGTTTGTAAGGGTTTTCTTTGTTTTTGGGATTCTTGGTTTGGTTTGGTTTGAATTATTTCAGTGTTTCCTTTTTAGTTCCACACACCTTATTTTCTTTTCCATATTGATTTTGACTACCAAGATTCTTTGCAGTCCAGGGTTCTAGGACTTCATACAACTTTATCATTAAAAATCATGTTTTGTATGGTCATGAGTTCAGTATATGACTTCAGATAAATTCCCATGAGATTACTGAAACATGAGATCTACCCTAAGTCAGAATTAATAATGCATAATTACTTCCTTAGAAAACAGATTATAAAGTTCTCCTAATTTTTGCAATCTGCAGTATGTTGTCAGCACATCCAGTTCCATTATTACCCTCTGTTCCAAAAGTAAATTGTATGTTATGCTGTTTCATAAATATAGTTATTGTGACAATCCAGCAGGAATTTTTGATATCAGAGCAGCATATGAAAAGTAAAAATTAGAAGGAAATTACAGAAGGAAAGAAAGGATATTGAAAAATAAAGCTTTTGTCAATTCTTCCTGTATTCTTTTCCATAATTCCTTGTTCTACAAACTGCATAATTTTGAAAAAGCCTAATATTTATTTTCATAAAATCTAAAACAATAGAAAAAAAGAAAAATATTTATTTAATTAGATGTTGTCAATGTCCCCTCTAATACTTCAGTAAAAAGCAAGAGCTGTGCACTACTGTTTTACAATGGTTAATTACAATCATATTTTTTTACGGGTATATTTATTTTTGATACTTTATTAGGATTAGTTGATTTTGAGTTATAATTTTTTCATCATTTAACTTATGTTTACTAAAAATTACTGCTTATCTAGAAATTTGCATAAAAATAATCTCTACTTGGGTGTCTAAAATGTACATATTTTTAAAAATTCCATTTAGTGCTGTTGTGGAATTCAAGTTTAGGGAAACAAAGAAGAAAAAAGAGTTTAAGAGAATAAAAAAGTATACCAAGAAAAAGAATAGGTGATAAAAAGTGTTTCTAGATAATTTAAACTCAAAGAAGGATGTTGATTAGGATTATGACACAAATTATAGTTTCTTTCTTCCTCTGAGAGATGAAATAATAGAATAACAAAATTGAAAACCAGGATGATGGTGTCTAAATCAGGCCAGGTTAGCAACTGTAAGTAGATAAACGAAATCTACAATTTACAAGAGAAAAAAAATCAACCT